GTGTGTGTGTGTGTGTGTGTGTGTGTGTGTGTGTGTGTGTGTGTGTGTGTGCGCGTGCGCGTTTACACCTACACAGAGCCAAGTATTAGTCACTATCGGATGAGGGAGCAAACATTAAAAAGCATAACTAACTGTTAAGACATTTCCTCCAAAATCCCTCACCACACACACACGCTGCTCTGGATGATAGCAAATTAAAGATTTATTCCTGAACCAAAATCACATTAAAACACACACTCTGTGTGTGTGTGTGTGTGCGCGCGTGTGTCAGTCATCACCAGGGGAACACAGCTGTGGACTGTGTGTGTGTGTGTTTGATATGTCATTTTTAGTGTGCTGTTCCTCAAGGGGGTTTTTCTGCCCTGAGTTGAACTTGTCAGACAGAAGTCCCGCCTCCTTTTTGATTGAAGGTCAGGCTGCGTCACCGATGATGACCCCAGACCTTAATCTAATCAATCAATCAATCAATGAAATAAGCTGGTTAGGTTTGAACACAGATGGGGAGGTGCACTGCCTGAAGGCTCAGCTCAGGGCAGATGTATGAATGTTTCTGTTTGTGGGTTAAAAACAGTTGAAGTGTTAAATCTGGAGTAACAGAAAAGCTTATTTTACTCATTTATTCCATTTCCTTTCTTCTCATACTCTTTCCTTCCCTCTTTCAATTATTTTGTTTCCTCATTGGTTCTTCCTTTTCTTTCGTTTGTTTCCTTTCTTGTTCGTTCATTTTCTGTTGTTTCATTGGTTTGTTTCCTTATTTCCTTTCCTTCCTGTCTTCCCTTTTCTCTTCTCACTTTGTCTGTTCTTTCCTTTCCTTTATTTTCCCCCATCTTTCTCATACTTGTTAAAAACACATGGATTATGTGTGTGAATTAAAATAGCCCAATTTAGATAATGTATAAGAGCCGCCAGCAGTAACGAGCAGACATTTTCTGATCTGCCCTCGATAACCTCGCTGGTCAGTGTTTTTATTAGTGCGTCGGTGTGTATTGAAATGGACTAATGCGTGTGTGTTTTATCTGTCCTGGGCCGCTCTGAGATTTGCTGTGTCTTATCTCCATCTTCATGCTTCCTCTTGCATTTTCTGCACGCAGGGGTGTGGGTGTGTGTGTGGGGGTGTGTGTGTGTGTGTGTGTGTGTGTG